AATAACAAAGGTCCATATATTTTTCAAGTTCTAAATGTGTATTATTGCTATTTTAGTGGAGTTTACAGAAATTATACAAACTAATGTTTACATTAGTGCATTTTCTTCAGACGTCGCATTTATTCTTCATTTTTTGTCCCAATATTTAGCTATCAGCTTACTCTTACCTAGTATATAGACATGACTTTAGTAGCCCACACTGTCCTCTTAATTTGTGATTTTCCTATATTAGTGCCTCATTTTTTCTTTAAAATGTATCATTTTATTAGATAAAAATTGCAAATTTTTGTAAAGTTGTATCTGGAAAATGTTTTCCGTGGTGGCTTAAGCCTTTAATTCTACCACTAGAGAGGCAGGTCTTTTTGAGTCCAAGGCCAGCCAGGACAACATAGTAAAATCAAAAACAAGACAGACAAAAAGGCTTTCTCAGACAGATTTTAGTTGTGTTATTTATTCCAAGTCATGAACACATTCTTTAAACAAAACAAGTTTGAAACTATTCTAGGTGTATTTCTCATTTACCAATCATTTCCAGGAAAACTGCCTAAGAATTATGACCCAAAAGTTACCCCAGATCCAGAAAGATGGCTACCTATGCGAGAACGTTCTTACTACAGAGGAAGAAAGAAGGGTAAAAAGAAGGACCAGATTGGAAAAGGGACACAGGGAGCAACTGCAGGAGCCTCCTCCGAACTGTAAGTTGTGGCTACAGAGACGGGTCCCTCAGAATGTAGTTCATCTTGGAGGTTGACTCAAGTATTAGGGAGACTTTGTTTATATTCGATATGAGACATACAGTCCTACAGCCTTGATAAGTATTTGTGGTATGTGAAAGGAAGAAAATATGCTGTTTGATTTTATTGCAAATACTGAAACTATGTGATTGTATTATTAAAAACTAAATATTCTAGGAGCTGTGAGAATGATCCCAATAATGGATCCCTTGCCTAGCATGTCTAAGGCCCTGGGGCCAACCCTGAGTACTAAAACCCACAAAACAGCCTGTAATTACACTTAGTTCTGAAACTAAAGATAATGAATCATTTAACTGTGTGGTGGATAGGTAATACCTAGAAAGAAGAATTTAAAATGTGAATTCTTTTTTTTTTTTTCAAAGATTTATATATTATGGTATACACTATTCTGTCTGCATATATGTCTGTAAACCAGAAGAGGGCACCAGATCTCATTATAGATGGTTGTGAGCCACCATGTGGTTGCTGGGAATTGAACTCATGACCTCTGGAAGAGCAGCCTGTACTCTTAACCACTGAGCCATCTCTCCAGGCAAAATGTGAATTATTTCTACTTAGAATTATATCATTGAAAGATGATTTTCTAAGCTTAATAAATTTGGCATGTAGCATATATTACATTTTCTTTAGTTATAAGATGGTTAAAAATATTCAAAAGGAGCGGACAAAGATATGGTTTATCCATCCTTAAAGTACATGGGAAATTATTGGGTGTGGAAAGTGAAATCCATGCAAGCTTAAACCTTTTCCTGTACTTCTAAATGACTAAACACCTTTTGGGTTTGATGATTTCAGGGACGCCAGTAAAACTATGAGCAGCCCACCCACCTCCCCAAGACCTGGCAGTGCAGCAACGATATCTTCCTCTACAAGTAACATTGTGCCCCCAAGACACCAGAAACCTGCAGGGGCCCCAGCAACAAAAAAGAAACAGCAACAGAAGAAGAAGAAAGGAGGCAAAAGTGGCTGGTGAAGACAGTGTACTTGTTGCAGGCTATTGTTATCCAGTGTCAGTGACATTGGGAACATAATAAAGGTAACACAGCAAGAAGCACAGAGCTCCCTCCTCCATCCCCATAGTCCAGAAATGATTCCTTATACTTCAAATGGGAAAACATCCTCCTCAAACTGCCTAATCAGATTTGGCCTACTTGTACCAAATAGCTTTACGAAGACTGAAGATGACTGAGCATTAAGGCACGTTATCTAAGGTTTACCAGGATTTAAATGGAAAGTGTTTCTCCTGTTTCAACTAGTGAAGATATGTGTTCCTATTCAAGTCTCACCTTAAATTATGTCTTACGAGGCTAAAGGTGGCACCTTCTGAGCATTCCACGTATTTGTTTAGAACTATCATGTGATGAAAAGGGATCTTAGTAATGAGTGGCTCATTTAAATGAAAGATTCGGTGTCTAAAACAACTTTCACCATAATTCTCTGTCCTGTGATGCTGGAATTGGGACTTGTTCACGTGTTTGTGTGTGGACACCTTGACTCCTTTGTACCCCTGTCACTTTCATTCTCAGATTATGTTAACATGCTGATTTAGTTCCACTGAAGACCTCAAGAAAATAGATCAATGTTACAAGTAGTTGATGCTTAGACCCAGTGTTCTGAGGGCAAATGGGTTTGGGCTTCTTAATCAGAACACTTAATGGCCATTATCAAGAACATAAACTCTGACTTCTTTATTTTAAGAGGGAACAGTACCAGGCGGTATTGAAATTCACAAGAGCATTTGGCCCAGTTAGCACTCAGATGGTGCCCCTTTCTGGTTATGGGACATGACCTTCCATTACATTTTTCAAAGTAATGTGGTTTGCAGTCACTTTGTGGTATAAATGTTGCTCTTGTCTTTCATTGCTAGCAGGCCACTTTCTTACTCAAACAGTTGTGAGACACACCTGGGGTGTCTCCCCATGTTTAGTATTCGTTTATGCCACCCGAGCTATCATTTATTTCACACATCTATTTCCTCATGATCAGATTACTCTGTCCTTGTTAATAAAAGTGCTGCTGTGTTTGAGCATTACCTATTGAAACTTCTTCAGTGAGTCTTTACAAGGCTTTCCTACTCTATGGGATTACAAATGGGGGCTGCTGTCTTTACACAGCTCTCCAGAGAACAGTCTCGGTGAGACTGAATATCCCATTACAGGAATGATTGTTGTTTAAGATTCCATTACATCTCCTGTGGTTAAAGGTAATTTCTCAAGTTTACACACAGAATCTTCATGAGATTTACTGAACTTTTGAGAATTTTGATCCAAGACACCATGGTGAAATACATATGTAGTACTCTTACTTGTCACTATTATTTCAAATAAGTTATTTCCGTCTAAACTTCATCTGTATTAACATTCTAGTAACTATTGGGTAAGTCTCTAACCAGTACATACTGGGGAGTGTGTGTACATTTATAAAAACCAATATGGAGCCGGGCAGTGGTGGTGCCTCCCAGCACTTGGGAGGCAGAGGCAGGTGAATCTCAGTGAGCTTGAGTCCAGCCTGGTCTACAAAGGGAGTTCCAGGACAGCCAGGACTGTTACACAGAGAAACCCTGTCGGGGGGGGGGGGGGGGGACAATATGGAAAACAGCCACTCACTGGGTTACATTTTAAAATAAGTTCTAGTAGTGAATAAATGTGAATAAAGATGTTTCAAGTATTGACATTTTATGGAGGATTTCCTTATTGATATACCTAAGAATTTTCTTTTAAGCTGAATATCTAAAATTACCTCCTGACCCTCCCAGGAAAACTACAAATCTAGTGGGATTGAGAGAACTCTTTTATAAATGGCAGTTCAGAGGCTGGAGAGATGGCTCAACAGTTAAATTAGCAACAGCTGCTGTCCCAGAGACCCTGAGTCCAGCACCTACCTACAGGGTGGCTAATAACTGTCAGGATCTGACATCCCCTTTGGCCCCCTCTGGCACTACACACGTGATATACATACACAACATGCAAGAAAAATACCCATAAACATAAAACCATAAATCTTTTTTAAAAATCCATCCTATTGGTATGTGCATCAATGAACAGAAGCAAACCTTCTTTATGAAGTGTTGAGCCTAGCATTTTCTTTTTTTAGCATTTTTTTTAACATTTTGAAAAAATGATTTATTTATTCTTATTTTAAAGTGCATTAGTGTTTTGCCTGCATGTATGTCTGAGGTTGTCAGATCCCCTACAATTGGAGTTACAGACAGTTGTGATCTGCCATGTGGGTGCTAGAAATAGAACCCAGATTCTCTGGAAAAGCAGCTAGTGTTCTTAACTATTGAGCCATCTCTCCAGCCTCTAGCCTATTTTCAAGACAACTGAAGATAGCTAACCAACTGCTCCGTCACTCAAACCTTCTGGAACTTTTTCCATGTGGTGGGGAAGAGCAAGGTCTCAACATGCTAGCCTGGCATTAAAACTCACTGGGTAGCTTCAGTCTGACTTAAACTCAAGCAGTCCTCCCCCAGCGTCCTCAGCGCTAGGATGCTAGGATACAGACAAGGCACCCGTACCATGTCCTTGTGTTACATGTTGTCTTTTTTACTGAGCAGGAACCCAGGGCCTTTATTCAGAAAGCACTCCATCACCACTTACACCCCATCCCTAGAAACCAACCTTGGCAAATTGTGAAATAGCCCAAGTCTAGCTAGAAAATAAGAACCATGAGTTCCTCAGCTAAAGAAACATGCCAGCTCACTTAGGGTGCTTTAGTTGAACTACACACTGATTAAGACTGCCTCATTTTGACCATGATATCTGTCCTGGCTAACTGTCGGCACCGGAAATGTCGGTGCTTGGCTGACAGTCCTGATATAAGCAGCCTTTTGTTCCTTCCAGTGGAATTCACATGTGATGGGGGCAGGAGATATGTAGCCTGCGTTCTGGGGTAGGAGGTTGTAAGCTGGGAAAAGGTAGGGGAGTCTCTAGGGCTTCTGACACCCTGGACATTCCTAAGTTAGGGGCACACAGACTAGTAGAGCAAATCGGGGGTTGAAGCTGAAACTCTTAGGCATTTCTCCAACCCTGCCAAATCGTGCCTTTGTGCCTTCTGGAGCAAGGGGTGCCTATGTACCTCCAACAAAAGCAGTCCATCTCCCCGGTTTCTCCCAGTTCTCTGCCGAGGATCACCGGGTTCCCCTAGACTGGGCTTGATCCACACTCTAGCACCCTCGCCTTTACCTCGTCGACCGGTCGGTCACTCCATCAGCCTCAAAGTCGACTAATCAGCTGCCAGCTCTAGGCAGATGAGCTAAAGCAAAATGCCAGACCGCTAGCTGTACTCACTGGCGCGGCCTGCGACCCTGTGACCACGGGTGTGGCCTACGCCTTCTGGACCTACGTCTCCACCTTGAGTCCCACAGCAGGGCCACGCCTGCCAGGATCCAGGAGGGCCCGCGACTCCTGCGCGACTCCGGCGCGCGGGCGCGCGGAGGGGAGAGAAGGTAACAGCGGCGTGGGAATGGAGAAGGCGAAGGTGAAGAAGGAGAAGGAAAAGTTTTCTTCTTCTTCAAGCAGTAGGGAAACAGTAAAGTCAGAGAAGGAGAAGAGAAAAGACGTGGAAATTAAAATCAAGGGGAAAGAGAAAGGGAAGGAAGACGAGAAGACTGTAGAGGTGAAAAACAAGAAGAAAGAGTCAGTGAAGGAAGAGGAGAAAAGGAAGGATGTCGAGCAGAAAGGCGACAACGAGAAAGAGTCAGGGAAGGAAGAGGAGAAAAGGAAGGATGTCGAGCAGAAAAGCGACAACGGGAAAGAGTCAGGGACAGAAGAGGAGAAAAGGAAGGATGTAGGGCAGAAAAACGACAACGGGAAAGGGAAGGAAGAGGAGAAAAGGAAGAGTCTGGACCTGAAACTCAAAGTGAAAGGGAAGGAAGAGGAGAAAAGGAAGAGTGTGGACCTGAAACTCAAAGAGAAAATGAAAGTGAAAGGGAAGGAAGAGGAGAAAAGGAAGAGTTTGGAGCTGAAAAACAAAGTGAAAGGGAAAGGGAAGGAAGAGGAGAAAAGGAAGAGTTTGGACTTGAAACCCCAGGGAAATGGGAAAGCGAAGGAAGAAAAAAAGAAAAATGTGGACATGAAAAACAAGGAGAATGGGAAAGGGAAGGAAGTCAGTGAGGAGGAACAGGTCAAACAGAGCAGTAGCACCTCGATCCTGTCCCCGCCACTGCTGCCGCCGCCGGTAAGAGACCTGGGACCGGGACCCTCGCCTCCGAGGCCATTGTGGGCATCCAGCCCCGCCGGCTCTGTTACGTCGCCCCTGAAGTACGCAGAGAACCGGGTCTTGTCCAAGGACTTCCGTCTATGGGGGAGGGGGGATGTGCCAAGGTTCGAACGCATCCTCGAGCCCCAATTTCAGCCCTTCCCGCATCCCCAGGTCCTATCCCTTGTTGTCTAGGAATCTCAATGGGTCCTAGCTTAACGCATTGGTCTCCACATTTTGTACCAGTGTGCGGACCTCATAAACAATGCTGAAAAAAGTACCGAACCCTCTTCCTCGCACTTGCAGTAAAGATCTTCATTGGAAGAGATAGGGTTCCTGGTTACACGCACGAGAAATACACAATGTGTTTGGGAGCTCCTGATTCTTTTCTCTGGGCGCTGTGGTTTTGAATGACTTGCAGAACATCTACGGTAGACGGGGAGGATGGGTTGCAGACTTAACTATTCTCAGAACCCCAGGCATTGTTTTGGTCAGAAACGACTGTCGCTTAGTGTTCCCGGTTCCTGGGTAGGTTCCTTGGCTCAGAGCTGCTTTCTAGTTCTGAACAGTTGGAATTATTCACGGAGACTTGGGGAAAACAGACTCCACAGACCCACGGATGATGGAAGAAATAATTATTGACAAAGAGCAGTGATGGTCAGAATTAGATTTGAGTATTTACCTAGCAGAGTGGTTTTCCCGGGACAAGGCTTCTGAGTTGCACTCTGGGAATGCGGGCCCCTGCGATTTCCCCAAGTTCGATAAACTATATAGTTTCTGGTAGCTGTGGAACAGGACTAGATAAACGTGAAGGATCTTGGGGTTTTGTTTGGCGTGACTTTTAGAGCTGGCATTATAACCCAGAGTTTCAGCAATAAACTCTACCATTGAGCTACATTATCTCACCCCAAACCTATATCGTATACTAAAAGTATAAGGAAAATGTCAACCATGAGTGCTTGTGGAATTTCTAGGGAAGGTAGGCCTGTGGGCAATAGTGTGGATAGGAGTAGGGGAACACCATTATTTTCTAAGACTGTGGATGCAAGACTGCCAGTCAAAATATGACCAACCAGTATAAAATACCCTAATTTCAGCAGTAGGGTAGTCTTAGAATTAATGGAGTGTGTTAGGGTGGCCTGTGTAGGACTCGAAGTAGGAATTGTAGGGGACACAGTCCACACCCTGCAGCCATTTCTTGGTGCCTCTGTTGTTTTAAAGTGTGCAGTTTAAAAAACTTTCAATGTTCTATTCCATACTGTAGTATATTCTCAGAATGATACCATAACACTTAGAATTCTGAGGCCTTAGCCGGGTAGCAGTGGTGCAAGCCTTAATTCCAGCACTCAGGAAGCAGAGGCAGGTGGATCTCTGTGAGTTCGAGGCCAGCCTGGTCTACAGTGTGTGTTCCAGGACAGCCAGGGCTGTTATACAGAAAAACCCTGTCTCAAAAAAAAAAAAAATCTTCGGCCTTCATAAGTCATGCTTTATACATGACTTTATACATTAGTTAGCGATTCTAATACTGTTTCAGATTGCCTTTTGAGCCAGGTGTGGTGGTTCACATCTTTAATCCTCAGAGGCAAAGGCAGGTAGATCTGTTCAAGGCCAGCCTGATTTCCACAGTGAGTTCCAGGACAGCCAGGGCTGTATAGTGAGACCCTGGCTCAAATCAAACAAGATCATTTTCTGGCTGGGATTGGAAAACTTGCCGTGCTAGCTTGTCCAAGGTCTTGAGTTTGATCCTCAGAGCTGGGATCAATTAATCAAAAATACTTTTTAGTGTTCAAACAGAATAAGTAGAACAAAGTAAATGCTGTTACTTTAGAAGCAATGTCATTCGTGATAAATGCTACTGTTTTATTATTTGGGTTTTTGTTTTGTTATTTGATAATCGTTGTTCGATTAAAACCACATCTCTGAGCACCCAGAACTATTTCTGTATTCATGCTGACCTTCCTTTCTGATCATTTTTGTTTGTTTATTTTTCCAGACAGGGTCTCACTATGTAGCTCTGGCTGCCCTGGAACTCACTATGTAGACCAGGCTAGCCTCAAACTTGCAGAGTTCTACCTCTGTCTCCTGAATGCTGGAATTAAAGGCCTGAGCTCCTTTCTGATCATTTGTGATAAAAAAAAAAAAAAATCTCTAAGACTGGAATGTGAGAAGAAGGCTGGACTTCATAACAAACACTCTTTTGTTATTGAGACAGGTTTGACAATTTCTATAGCCTTAGCCTTCCTGCTTAATCATGATACTTGCATCAAAAATGTAAGAGAGAACTGAGTAGCAGTGGTCCACACCTTTAATCTCAGCACTCAGGAGGTAAAGGTAGTCAGAGCTCTGTGAGTTCGAGGCCAGCCTGTTCAACAAAGTGAGTTCCAGGATAGCCAGAGCTGTTATACAAAGAAAATCCTATCTCAGAAACAACAACAAACAAACAAAACAAAACGCAAGAGAGGAACCTTGTCCTAATATTTTATAGCCACATTATACAACTGCTATACAAGACAAACAATGATACCTTAAATGCTTCCATGTTGGGTGAAGACAAACTACTCTAGTGTACTTGCCAATAGATGATAATTCAAGATGAGAAATTGGGCCCTGGGATGGTACAGAGGTTGCTTTAGGGCCTGATAACCTGAATTTGATCCCCAGCACTGACATGGCAGGAGAAAACCAGCTACTGAGAGTTGACCTCTGACCTCCTTATGCATGTACACACACACACACACACACACACACACACACACACACAATGTGAAAAAGAAAGAAAAATATCTAGAAATTATCCTGGTATTCATAGATCTGTGACACTGCACAACACACAAATTCTAATGTGTTTGCATGCATGCGAGTGTGTGTGTGTGGGGGGTGTGTGTATGTATGTATGTATGTATGTACATATATTTGTTATTTGATAGACTAACAAGAAATTGGACTATAGAAAAAGGATATGGGAGTGACATTCCAGAAGTGGAGATAGTTTGGGTTTCGACCTGGTTAGCAATTCCACGGTTATGAGTAGGTCCTAATAGTCATGTACACTGTCAGGAGCCAGCCACACATAGCCCCAATAGCATGTGTTTACTGACTTATTTTTTATTTCACAGGAGAAAGGCAAGCAGATCCTAGTACTGGGCTTGGATGGAGCAGGAAAGACCAGTGTCCTCCACTCAATGGCTTCCAACAGAGTGCAGCACAGCTTGGAACCTACCCAAGGTTTTCACGAAGTTTGCATCTACACTGAAAACAGGCAGATAGAGTTCCTGGAGAGTAAGTTCTGTTTCTCACTAGCATCCATCTTAAACCAGAAGCAGTATTCTCTATTGACATTGTAATCTTGAGAGAAGTGACACTGGATGGGATTCTTAGGATGATGTGTAGTTTAATCAGATGCTCGGGATGGGGGCTGGGGAGTCCCCTTTCTGCAGTTATTCCCACTGACCAACTATTTCCTCAATGACATTGCTCTGGTCACTCAGTCGGTGGCATTCATCAGAGCACCTGGCCAGTGTGTCCTATAGTCCCCCTTGGTGGACATGCCCATGATTTGAATTAATGAATTAACTGATGTGTGATTTCTTCCTCTCCCATTCTCTGCAGTTGGTGGCAGTGAGCCATTCCGCTCCTACTGGGATACGTACCTGCCCAAGGGATGGCTACTGATCTTTGTGGTGGATTCGGCTGACCACAAACGGTTACCTGAAGCCAAGAAATGCCTTCATCAGCTAATTGAACCAAACCCAGAGCTCCCTCTGGTCGTGTTTGCCAACAAACAGGTAAAATCCTGTGCAGATCTGGCTTTGTAGAGCATCTTACCAAGCTTTCAGGATTGCTCCCGCCAAAACTGTTAATGTAAGCTACATGCAATAGTCTCATTATTAGCACAGTCTGATTTTAATAGGTAGATAGTCAACAATATACTGTCTGTTCAACTTATTACTTCTCCTAGGTTATACACTCTTTCAATAGAAGTACAATTATCTTGTGTCCTTTAAGTACTTGGATTGCCTAGTCTGTTGCCTCGTGGAGAAATAGAATTGAACCATGTGTGTTGAGCTTATTTTGATAAACCAATATGGATTGCTGATTTAATTCAACACCATATTTGAGTGGCTTCTATATATAAAAAAAGAGTTTTGCTTTAGATCAGTTACATTTGACTGAATTTATTTGGTGCTTGCATTTAAAGCAATAAACGTCCATGGAGAAACTGTAAACTTTGTCCACTGTCCTTGGAAGTTTAAGCTACTAAGAAAAAAAAACCCAAAAACAGAATTCCTGTATGATGTAGCAATTCTACTTTTTTTGTATAATGCCCCAATAATGAAATCGTGGAGCCTTTCTGTTTTAATACAGTTATTATGGCAGCAGTGGCCACAGGTTAGAAGTTATCACCTGTCTGCCCGCTGGTGAGTGCATAAGAAAATGTGTTGTGTCCATATAGATTGTTATTTTAGCTTTCAGAGGGAAGTTCTACCGTATGCAACCACATGGATGAACCATACAGATACTATCCCAAATGAATAAGCTAGCCACAGAAGGACAGATGCTGTATGATTCTGCATATTGAGCTTCTATCCAGAGTCGTCAAATCTGCAGAGGTCCAAGTGCAACTGTGGCTGTCCAGGGTTACAGGAGGGAGGAAAGTGGAGACAGCTTAGCACAAACAGAACTTCAGTCTAGCAAGATGAAGAGTTTGGGTGACTGTTGATAGTGATGGTTTAAAACACTGTGAATGTATTTAATTCTATCAACTGTACATGGGAATGGTAAATTTTGTTATGTGTACTATTATGATGATGATGACTATGAACACACACACACACACACACACACACACACACACACACACACACACACACACACACCTTTAGGTTTTTAAACACTGTAAAACTAATTCTCTCAATTAACTGGGTTTGCCAACCAAGCTCAATGCCTGCCTTTCCCTTATGGCTTCTGTGGGTGTGATTTCACAGAAGCAAACTAAATAATTACAATTGAACCTAGGTTGACATCCAGGATAGTGGTTGGCCCAGCACATTTTGGCACTGTGTTGACATTTTAAAAAGAAAGGTTAATGATTTGTTTTTCTTTACTCTTTTTAAGTTTTTTTTTATTATGTATACAGTGTTCTGCCTGCATGTATGCCTGAACTGCATGCTAGAAGAGGGCACCAGAACACATTATAGGTGACTGGATATGGTTGCTGGGAATTGAACTCAGGACCTCTGGAACAATATGGTCAGTGCTCTTAACTGCTGAGCCATCTCTCCAGTCCCTATTTTTTGTTTTAAAGTGAAGTATCTTAAAACTACAGAAACTGAGGACCTGAGAGATGTGGCTCAATGGTAGTGGCTGTGCTTAGCATGTGAGAGGTCCCAGGTTCAATCCCCAGCAGAGGGTGAGGGAACTGCAAAGATTTAGAAGCTCCTGTACACACATTTGAACTGTGTGCCATTCTGAAGGACTGGGATCTGGCCATTCTCTTGTTCCTGGACATTTTCATTATTCCCAATTGTTTACTGTTAGTGTTGCCATGAGTTTTCAAATGTGTGTGCCCTTGTACATGTGGATCCAAGTGTGCATACCTAGAAGTGCTAGATTTTTGGATTTGCAAATAGTTTTATTAGATATTCCTAAATTGCTTTCCAAAGTTGCACTAGTTTATTCTTCCACCAGGAGACAACAGTTTTTGAAGCTCCACCCCCTCCCCAGGACTTGCTATTGTTGCAACCGTCCATTTGCCAACGTGGTGAGGCTATAGTTGATTTTTATTATCCTTATTTATTTTGAAGGTGTTTAGTGCTGACTGAACCCTACATCTGTGGGTGTCTTATTTCCTCTTATTTTCCCAACTCTGATTCTCCGTTCTGGGTATCAGACCCAGGGTCTTTTGTACAAAGCATACAGTTTACCACAAAGAAGTGCCCGAGGCCTCTACCTGTCCTTGTTTGAGGTATACTGGTACTTATTATCATTTGGAAAATTCCCTTTGTTGGTTATATACGTCATTAACATCTTCTCCAGGATCTCAGTGATTGCCGTTTTGCTTTCCTTATGATTTCTATTTTTATGTTGGAAACTCCCCTCCCCTTTTTTGAGACATAGTTCTACATAGTCCTTTCAGTATAGTTCTGACTGTACTGGAACTCACTATAGACCAGGCTGGTCTTGAACTCGTAGAGATCTGCCTGTGTCTGCCTCCTGAGTGTTCAGTATGCCACTATGCCCAGGTAAACTGAAAACTTTTGCTTTGCCTTAATGATAAAAGGCTTAGCTATTCTTTTTTGTTTTGTTTTGTTTGTTTTGTTTTGTTTTTCAAGACAGGGTTTCTCTGTGGCTTTGGAGGCTGTCCTGGAACTAGTTCTTGTAGACCAGGCTGGTCTTAAACTCAAAGAGAGCCGCCTGCCTCTGCCTCCTGAGTGCTGGGACTAAAGGTGTGCGCCACCACCACCCAGCTTTTAGCTATTCTTTTTTTTTTTTCAAAATTAAGTTTATTCATTTATTTTACACCCCAACCAACAGCTTTTAGCTATTCTTTTTTTTTTTCAAAATTAAGTTTATTCATTTATTTTACACCCCAACCAAAGTTTCCGTTCCCTGCTCTCCTCCCATTCCCTCCCCCACCCACTCCATTTTCCAATCCACTCCGTTTATATTCAGAAAGGGGCAGGCTTCGCATGGATGTCAACAAAGCGTGGCATATCAAGTTAATGTAGGACTAGGCTCTTCCCCTTGTACTAAAGCTGGGCAAGGTAACCAGATATGAGTAATAGGCTCCTGGAAGCCAGCCAAAGGATTAGGGGAAGGCCCTGCTTCCACCACTAGGAATCCCACAAGTAGATCAAGCTATACAACTGTCACACATAAGTAGAGGGCCTAGGTCAGTCCCATGCAGGTTCCCTAGCCATTGGTCCAGAGTCTGTGACCTGCTATGAGGCCAGATCAGTTGTCTCTGTGGGGCCCCCATGATGACCTTGAAAAACCACACCTCACCTTCCCACCCCACCACCCACTCCAACTCCAACCTCACCCCCATTCTTGGCCCCTATAATCCTTCCTCCCTCTTTTCAAGGATTCCCAGAGCTCTGCCCAGTGCTTGGCTGTGGATCTCTGCATCCATTTTCATCAGTCACTGGATGAAGGCTCTCTGATAATTGGGGTAGTTACCAGTCTGATTACAGTTCAGGTTACTCATCTACCATTGCTAGGAGTCTTAGCTAGTGTCATCCCTGGGAGTTTCTCTTGTACCAGGCCTCCACTTGACCCGAAATGCCCCCCCCATCAAGATGTCTCTTTCATTACTCGCCCTCCATCTATCCTTCCAACCCAATTCCTCATGTTCCCGTCGCCACTGCCACCCTTCCATCCACCCAGGGGATCTCTTCTATTTCCCCCTCATAGGGAAATCCATGTGTGCCCACCCCTCTTTAACCATCCCTGTTACCTACTCTCTCTAGAGCTGTGGATTGTAGCCTGGTTATCCTTTACAGTCAATACCCACTTATGAGTGAGTGCATACCATGTTTGTCTTTCTGTGTCTGGATTACCTCACTCAGGATGATTTTTTATAGTTCTATTCATTTGCCTTCAAATTTCCTGATGTCTTTAACAGCTGAGTAATAGTCCATTGTATAAATGTGCCACATTGTCTTTGTCCATTCTTCGGTTGAGGTGCATCTAGGTTGTTTCCAGGTTCTGGTTATTACGAATAATGCTGCTATGGACATAGTTGAGCAAGGGTCCTGGTGGAATGATTGAGCATCCTTTGGGTATATAAGGCTTAGTTATCCTGATTTAATGCATATTTGTTTATATTCTTTTGCCAAAGTATTTAGTCTATGCTTTTAGATGAATCACTAGGTCAATATGCTACACTGGGGTTTTCAAAAGTTATCTTAGTTGGGCATGGAGGCGCATGCCTGTAATCTCAGCAGGGTCACAGAGGCAGAAGGATTGCAAGTTCAAGGCCAACCTGGGCTAGATAGGGAGAACCTGTACAAAAAAAAAAAAAAACAAGTTATCTTATTAGCTTTATCCTTTGGTTATAACCTCGATTCCTACCCATACGGTCTCTTCCCTACATCTTCCTTTACAATTTCTTCAGTAGATTTATTAACCTGAGACAACATCCATATACTACTGTATCCATTATTACAGAAGTCACTAAGGGCTCTATGACTAAATGAATTCAGGTTTCAAATAGGAAACATATTGTGATTACCATCACCTAGTTACCGTGCATAGCCTAACAGGCGAAGTCTCACAGACTTCTAAGGCTATGGAGCTAAGATGACACGACTGGACCTCCATATACCCCACAAGTTTGATATAAATTTTTAATCAGAATAAATAATGATAGCAACAAAGAACTCAAAGTGATAAATGTGAAAATCTGTAAAATATGATATGGACAATAGTAATTGATAAGTAGGGCAAGATAGTATACGCCTATAATCCTAGCACTTGCTTGGCTGAAGCAGAAGGATCGAAAGTTCAAGACCAGCCTAAGTTTCATGGTATGTATGACTCTTTAAGAAAGTCAATGAATTCCTCCCACTAAGGCTCAGGGAACAAAACAGACAAGGAGGAGGAATGACTAAGAGCCAAAGACCAGAGAGGACCAAACTTAACAGTGTCTTCTGGACATGAGAGGAAGCTGTACCCATGTACTCATGGCAGCTGTGGTGGCTTGCACAAGATGTGCACCAGATCAAGCAGCCAACATTTCAACATGGAGTGGATAAGGGTTCTTGAGCCATGGACAATTGATGACTTCTGGGCTATGGAAAGTCACTTTTCTTTAAAGATATGGCCTATGTAGGTCGACCATCCTCCAGTGGATGGCTTCATTTATACCCATGAGTATACAGGCAACACAAATTGGATTCAGTGAGTTATAAAAAGAAAAAGCAACATATAATTGAGGTGGGGGGTGGCATAGAGCTGAGGATGGATGTAGAGGAATTGGGGGAAGAGTAAGGAGGGAATATGATCAAAATACATTGTATGTATAAAATTTTCAAAGAATAAAAGTAGTACATTAAAAACACGTGGTGCACACCTTTAATCCCAGTTCTCAAGAGGCAGGTGGATCTCTGTGAGCTTAAGGCCAGCCTGGCCTACAATGAAAGTGCCAGGACAGCTAGGACTGTTACACAGAGAGACCCCTTCACAAAAAACATAAAATAAACAAGAAAAATCAATTGAACAACCAGATAAAATGATGAATCAAGTTTCTCTTAGTGACATAAATTCTTAGCAATTAATCATATTAAAGTTATCTTAGAAAAATAAACAGATTGATGGCATCATTTAGAAAATTCAGTCTGACTGAATCCCAGCATTTGGGAGGCAGAGGCAAGAGATCTTTGGGTCTGAGACCAGCCTGGTCTACATAGTGAGTTCCAGGATAGCCCAGGGTACCCCAAAACCCTGTCTCAAAAGAAAGAAAGAAAAATTAAGATCTTTTGGCAGGGGGCAGAAAACACTTTTTTTGATAAGTCAGAAACTGGCTAATTCTGATAAAAATGCTATTCATATCAACACTGGGGTCATAAAAACAAAGTCTCAATGTTTTCTGTATTAAAATGGCAGATTCATTTAAAATAAGGAGAAAGTATTTGTATTTAAAAAGATCGCAGACTAACCAGCATGTCCTATTCTTTTTCTGTCATGGGTGAAGGACCTTGAAGATGCCTATCACATTACAGATATCCATGAAGCTTTGGCACTATCTGAAGTGGGGAATGACAGGAAGTTGTTCTTGTTTGGAACTCAGGTGACTGAGAATGGCTCAGAGATCCCCTCCACCATGCAAGATGCCAGAGACTTGATTGCACATCTGGCCTCAAATATGGAGAAGTGACTAGGGCCCGGCCCACTCAAGTCACCATCAAACCATCATCAAAGAGGGCTGAATGGCAGGTGTAAGCCAAAGGTTTCCACTTCCAATAAAAAATAAACCATTTCCTATTCTCTCAATGCAAAGTGTATATACGAAGACAATGCTAACTCGTTAAGATCACTTTTTCATTTTTTTTTTAGATTTTTTTTAACTTTAAAATCATTTTGTTCAAGAGAAATTTGGATTTTTGTTTGTTTGGGATGCCGAGAGTTGAACCCTGGACCTCACATATATTAAGCATGTCATCTACTGTGGTGCTGTACCCACACACTCCGGATGAGGGTTTTAACTCAAAAGTAAAGTTTGTATAAGCAAGCCTTCATCCCTCCTGTGGTTTCTCTTTATGTTTTTTGTGTGTATGTGTTTGTGTGTGCACGTGTAAGGTCAGAAAGGTGTCCTCTCTCAGAAGCCATAACTTGCATATGTTCTTTTGTTTTTTGTGGTTTCCATGGATCAGACCCACATACTCATGTTTACACGGCAAGTACTTTCCTGATTGAACTCCTGCCTCTCACCCCCACCCCAAATCCAAGTGTGGCTCATCAATAGCAATAAATTTATAGTAAAGCATTTTTTAAAAATAATGTATTTGACTTTATGTGCCAGCGAGACACTGTGGAAGTCAGATGTACAGAATGGAGGAAAGATAAAGAGCCATGTGGCAGAACGTAGATTAATAGAAGCAGGGTAATTTAGGTCATAAGAGCTAATTGGGAACAAGCCTAAGCTAAAGGCCAAGCTTTCATAATAAGAAGTCTCCATGTCATTATTTGGGAGCTGGCAAACCCACAAGAAAGCCCAACTACATTTGGTGGCCAATGTGTGGCATGTCAATCCACAAAGGACCTGAGAAAGCTGAAAAAAAGTTCTGAACACAGACCTGGACATGGCTTCCTAGAAACCACAACCTCTCATGTAGTCCCGGTGCTTGCAGCATACAAAGGCATGCCTCCTTTAAGAGAGCCTGCTATGCAGCTAAGCACCTGATAGTTAGTGCAATATTCACACTAGATAAAAAATTCCCATAGCTGAAGCAGGTAAATGCAGCTTGATGCTCACAGGTGCTAGTGCAGTAGCCTGCTGGACCAACCCTAGCCTTCTGGAGTCAGCCACTAGCACCACGTGCTAAGCAGAGCCATGCAAAAAAGTCAGGTCCAGGCCAAAACAAAACAAAACAAAACAAAAAAACCCCAAAACAACCCCCCCCAAAAAACCTCTGAACAGGTACAGTATGCTTGAAAATGTGCTTAGGTGCTAAAGAAAGAAAAGAAAATGGGTAGAGACAGTCATAGAAAAATAGTTTAAAATAATAAAGTTTTAAAAGTAATGTAAAAAGAATAAGCCATGTAAGGATGGGAAATACACAGGACGTCTGGATCCTGTATGGTGCTTTCCTGACTTTGAATTTTTTAAATGCAAGTGAGCAAAAAGCAACAGCTTCTGAGAGACATTGGATTATGGAAACTACTAAATTAAGCCATCCTATATATTTTAAAGATGTCTTAACCTCAGAATAGAAGTCAGGAAATGTATTGTGGTGGGGAAGAGGTTATGCTTATGTTTCCACAGAAACTATGGATTTCTTCAAAATTAATAAAGATCATGTGTGACCAGGGAAGAACTCATGAAAAATCTTGGCTGCAGACATGAATTAAAAACAAGAAAAACTATGAGACAGATGGTGTATAAGCTGATCCCTTGACATGGGAACAGCTCTGAGACTGGATGAGACATGATAACTCTTGTTAGCTATGGAGTCTTCATGACTTATTATTACATGCCACCCTTTCATATGGCATGGATAGAGATTTATATGTGTTTGGTTATGCAGTCCAAATGGACTTAAAAAGTTGACAGATGACTGTTACCTGCTCAAACATAGAACAGAAAAACATCTTTAGCTGACTTGTATACACTGAGCATCCCATATTTAATTCAGATGTGTTACTTTTAAGAGTTTGTGTGTTTCAGAAAGAAAAGGACCGGACACCAATAAAGACAAGTAGCCCAGGTGACCCAGCCTCTCAGAATGCCTCTGTTCTGGTTTCCTCAAAATTCTACATCCAGAACAACTTCAAAGTGGCTAGCTGAGATGGTCCAACCTCACAGACTACTCTAGCCAGGATTTCAGATAAGCCCTACACTTTCCCATCGCACAGAGACTGGACAGAAGCTAGCTCTCCTAGGACTTGGCAATTATCCAGATTTTCTCAGGGTCCCCTAAAGAAACTGTGCCCCCCAGATAACAAGAAGTAATTTTAAGAACATGACACCGACATTCCTGAGAGGTGAGGTGGGTAGATTTTAGGATAAAGGTGGGTTATGGATGTTTATCGTCTTTTAGGGGGGTTGGTTGTAAATTGTTACTGGTCATGGTAAGGAAGGAAACTAAGCAAAGGTGGTTAGATTCAGGGATCTTTTTCTTTTTTAAGACTTTATTTATTTTTATTTATTTATCATGCATTTTTCTGTCTGCATGTTTGCTTGCACACCAGAAGAGGTTATCAGATCTCATTATAGAAGGTTGTGAGCCACCATGTGGTTGCTGGGAATTGAACTCAGGACCTCTGGAAGAGCAGTCAATGCTCTTAACCTCTGAGCCATCTCTCCAGCCCCCAATCTTTTTCTTAAAAGATAAAAAAGTGGGTATAGGAATGATAGGCTAAAGGGGTAGCCAGAGGAAAAATTTAAAGAGAAAGAGCTTGGCAATTCAGAAGAGACCTGCAAGGCTAGAATGTGAAAAGCAAGACAGAGTAAACTAACAAAACACTAGCTAAAGAGAAAGATCAGATCATGGAACACCTTGCAATATAATGTTTGGAGCCTTCCTAAAGACTCTGGAGTGTCACGTTTGGATGTGGGCAAAGGCAGAAGCAGAGCACTAGTCAGGAGGCCATTGGAGTTGATATCATGTACCAGGATGGTGATTGCATATCAAAAGAAAAGGATGAGGCCATTGATAGTGTGCTTGTCTAATATGCATAAATCTCAGGGTTTGATCTTCAGTACACAAAACCAGGTGTGGGGTTTATATCTGTACTCTCAAGACCTCAGAGACATATGGAGACACAAGGATTACAAGTTCAAGGTCATCCTTGGCTACATAGTCTGTGTTTAGCCTGGGATACATGAGACCCTGCCTCAAAAAAAAAAAAAAAA